TTCTAAATATACGTAGAGAAAAATTGTAAACACATCCATCATATTCATAATAAGATTAAATATCGCGACTTGTGCACATACCTGACAAATTGTAGCATACTTCGCTACATGTGAAATAAATTATTGTAGTGCACATCTTTTTCAAGTGTGAAATCTCTAGCTACCAGCATAGATTTGAAGATTCTTGTCTCGCCTCTTGTTGAATTGTACTTTAGTTTGTTCATCCACTTGAAGCCAATAGTGCTTGATTTCTAAGAAGCTCAACCAGATCCCAAGTCTTGTTTTCAATCAGCGATTATATTTTTTGATCCATAGCAGCATTCCACTCAAGCTTGTTGAAGCTTAAGCTTCAATGTTTGAAAAAGGTTCAACTTATTCTAATATTAACTTCATACAATCTCTATCCTCTGTATCAAGGTCACGATATTAAAAAATGGATGAATTAGTCAATACATCAAATCTCTTAGGAGCTCTAATAGCACAATGTGATCTCCTAGTAGGCGCTTCTTGTTGATCTCTATCTTCTGATATTGTTGCAATAGGCTCACTAACAATAACCTGTTTGTGTACTTTTTGTTCCACATGCACAAGTTCTCCTTCTTGTGACACATTATTTGTGACATAATGGTCAAACTTTCTCACAACAATATCTATGAGTGGAGATTTTTCCTTGTCAATACGAGAAGTCTAAAAAATCTCCCTTTCTTTCAATAAGCCATGCTCTTTGAAAAAAACTACTGACAATTAACTCATGGACTACTAAATTTCATAACCAATAACTTTTCACTCCATTAGGATATTAAAGAAAACAACATTTCTTAGATGTAGAGTCTAACTTAGCACTATGGTTCTTTGATGTGAAAAGATAATCAATACAACAAAAAAATCTCAGTAAAAATGTCAAAACACAAATACACAAAGAGTCGAGCCAAACTCACTACTCGTAGGTAGACTAAAAGTCGAAGCTAAGGGGAAAAACCCCGACGCGTAAGGTTCAACTCGAAGAACTGACAGTTCTTCGAGTTCGCCACGAATATAAACCTGTAAAGTCGACCTAGCCTACGCTACACGTCTCAACGTTAGCCGACTCCGAACGTCACCCGACTCACACTCGAATCCAACGTGTCTAAACTCAAATCGACACCAACGTCGATCTGCAACTGCACTAACGAGCATACACATGACACGTGAAATGACGAGTAATCCACTCCTCTATACAATATCTCCTTGTACAATAACTCTAAAATTACTCAGAAGTATACTCGCCGCCATTATGTGATTGCAAATATCTCATCCTCTATCCAATTTGAGTTTCAACTTGTATGTGCCAAATTTTGAAAATCAAAAATAACTAAGACTTGTGGGTAAGAAAATATTTCCACACATAACAAGAAGAATCATCCATAAAAGATACATAGTATTTCTTTGCAACGACCAAGAGAATTTGAAATGATATCCACACGTCACTATGTACATACTCCAATATCTTTAGAAAACTATGAGTTTCAAAATTAAAAGCTCATCTATGTTGTTTGTCTATGATACAATGCTCACAAAAATCCTAGTCAACTTCATCCAAATCCAGTAATAACTTTTTTTTATCAAGAAGAGACATCTAACGATCTCTCATATAGCTGAATCTGAAATGCCATACATGAGACATCTCAACGCGAGATTGGGAAAAGTTAATTTTTCCACAAATAGTTGTGCCCTCTAGCAATTACAATTTGTTGTGCTTGTATCTTGGAAGCATAATCTTCTTATCATGGGATCCAAAAAATCTAACATATTTTGCGTAGAGTTTCATTCTAAGCCGTGTGAATCTAACATTCTTGGAAAGATCTAGCTTTTTTTCATGTTAGATATTAATTTAACTTGGATTAGCATGGGAGTGACACCATCAAACATGCAAATCATTATAGATCCAACACCTTCAATTCTATATGATTGATCGTTTTTCATAAAAATCAAATCATTTGATCCTAAGAAAGTACAATTAAACTCTTTAATGTAATAAATATGATAAGAACGAGCATAATCTAGTTTATAACAATTTTTTATGAACGGCAGACAATACCTTTGGCATCATAGACCATCTGTATTTAGAGTCAAAATGCTATGCCGTTTGAGGAAGGACAGCCTTTCTTAATGTGATCATCATTGTGATATCTCCAACACATCAAGTTCCTTGTGTCAAATGATTGAATCTTAGATTGGATGTTCTTCCGCTCTAGAAAATTGGATCTCTGGCTCTTGAATCATGTGCGTCAAGAATCCTTTGTACTCATCAAATGTGAATGATCTTGAATCACAATAATTGCATTATCCGAATTGAATGGATAAGAAAATGACAACATCTCATGTTCTACCTCGTCCGTCAAGAGAGCGTTTACAACTTCGTTTTAAGTGACAGCCTTGCTATCACGATGAAGTAAAACTTTTTATAATATCTGGTAAGGAATAGTCAACAAGTGGAGAAGATGCATAGCATTTTCCATGTTAAAAGTCTCCTTTTTCATAGTTTGGAGATCTATCAACGTGACAGTTACTTCTAATGGAACCATCGCTGAAGGACGTCGAAGAGTTGTGTGATCTCAACATACTCATCACCGTGTTTTATAACCGAAGGATCTAGTTGTCCCATCATAATGTAGACTGAATGATCTTGTGAAAATTTCTAGTTAATGTCGCTAATGTGCACACGTTTCTCTTGGAAAACATTGGCGAGATTCATAGATCTGAACTTGACTTTTATCTAAATTTTTTCAAAGCAAGTAATCACCGCTTCCTTTGAATTTTGACAGAATAATGTCAAATTTGTTGACATGACGCACTTGCAGAGGCGACTTCATCTCTCTAGAACTAGTGTCAAAAAATTTTGTCACCTTGAATTGTCCTATTGAATTGGTTTCTTGTCACCTTTGTCCAATTGTCAACTCTTAAAATCCGTCAAAAAACCGTCATCATAAAAAAAGCCATTAGAAATAGAAAATCCGCCAACGATAAAAAAAACTCATCTTTGACATACCTGCCACACACATTGTTAAGTGACAAACATGGAATCAAAACAACGCTCTGATAACAATTTGTTAAAGGTAAACCTAAAGACAAAAGACACAAACACGAGTAGACGAGAGACACAACATATATTGTGGTTCATCCTTCAAAGCGCTACGTACATGGCTAGAACACACGAGAGAGTTTACTAATAATTGAAAGCAACAATTGTATTGAACATACGAGTGGCGACCAACCTAGCTATAGATAGATAGAATCTGAGGTTACTTCTAAACGAATTAAATTTGAACATAGTTTCAACAAATTGAACATAGTTTGACAATTATTTTAACTTAATAGAAAAACAATCAAGTTACTCCTTCATGAATATATGAGTTTCAATTTTGATATTTATTTTTAGAAGGTTTTGTTTTGGGACAAGTATGGTGAAGATTGAGTGTACTTTAATTTTGTCTTCATTGCGTTACTATCTTAGATTGAGAAACAGAAAGTTTCATAGACTCATTGTTCGCAAACATTATGTAGAACTCTCAACCGAGTTTCCTAGCAGAAAATTTGTTCAGCTGGTATTGCAGTGGATCTTTCCATATCAAGCTAGTTTCAATGCATGAAACTTTTGCTTGTTGAGAATTGGTATAAGTGGGCACTCTTATAAAACTAATACGGGCCAAACCAAGTCAAGTGTAAAACAAAACTGTGCCTTTTGAAAACAAGTGCCTACACTTTCGGCTTGTTTGTTACCGATATAGTTTTAGTCTATGAACAATAGATATTCTCGTACGACGCATCGAGGTCTGCAGCTGCTGCTTCCTGGATAGTAGCGGACCGCCCATCTGATTCTCAAGTGGTCGTCGCCTACTTTGGCCAGTCCTGTCGCGGAGACTTGATTCTGAATCTCGGTTTCCATCAGAAGAGCCCTCTGCAATTTAGAGAAAGCACAGTCGTCCCAACGAAACTAATCAGAGCATAAAGGACCGAAGTTGCAACAACGAGTGACTTTCTCATCACCCGGGCTATCATGAGAGGAGCTAGAAGCGTAGCGGGCAGCACCGCAATGCTGGATTCACCTTTATGCTCGAGAACTGGGTACGACGATATTGTATATTGTATGACCGAACTCTCCAGGAGGACAAGGAGGAGTGAAGACACTGCATTGAGACTTTCAGCCTCAAGCATTCTTCGTAAGCCCATCCATTGGAAGACAAACCTCGAGTTAGCGGGAGAGGGACAAGCAGAATCTGATCGACGTACATGAGTACAACTTGCTCAGATTCAGGATGGTAAATTTTAATTGTACTTTGGGATCTTCCCCTCCCCAGGGATACTCGGGCACAGTCCGGCCGTACGTAGGAGAGAAGATTCAGCTTTCTACTTGAGATCCAGTGAAATAAATGAAGTGCGAAGGCGTTGGAAGATAACAACAGACAAGACCGGACGCCCCACCACAAAACCTTAGGAGATGGGGTAGACCAGAGTATATTCCATCTTCCGTCTGAAGCAAATTTCTTAATACTTTATTTTAATATTTTAATGGCCGGGCACGGAAATAGTTTATTTTCATATTACCTGGTACTCGGAATTCGAAGATCCATAGCTTCCAACACGTCGGTATATACTCTCGAACCACCAGCAGCACGGGGGTGCTGGTGCTGGTTCGAATTTAATACGCAGAGACAACCAACAAGACGTGTACTTCTCCCTCGTAAGGCCAACTGGAAATCAGGATTCTGGATCCAAGCTGAATGCAAAGATGCGGCGATCTGGGCAGACGGCAGGAACCTCCACAGGGTGAGGAGGAGACTTGCAAGCCCCAAATAGACCAAAATGCGGCGTTCTGCTTTCACTGGCCACACTGCAAGCAAACGTGTCACTCCAGCGAATGTACTCAGAAGCCGTACTCCTGTACCTTCAGAATCTCTTCACTGCTGCTGTTTCTGCTGCTGATACTACTCCTGCAGCGCTAGCTCGAGCCCCACTGGAAGTCAAACTTGCCACAGTCGATAACGAGCTTCTCGCTCTGTATATATAGAGAACTTCTCTGCTCAATCAAAATCATCCTCTCGTAGTGTCTCTGCCTCCATTCTCTCTCTTCAACTTCCTTAGTGTTTTGTCCCTGACCTCGAGTCAGGATATTACGACTCCTTGAATCGGGACAAACACTCAAAGGGGTTAGAGACTGAATGTGTAGAGCTTCTGACACATCCGATTCGTTACAATTTTGTACAATTGTCATCATTATACGGAGTTGGTGAAGCCACACTCCAATTCCTTGCATTTTTCAGTAGCTCGTGACGGGTTAATTTATGCTTCACGAGTTACGCGTTTCAATTTAGTTCTGAGACTCGGATTCCTAAGCTATGGCTCCGAACAGCGACTGGCAGGAGGGAAACGCCAAGGGCGAGCCCGGATCGTCCTTGCATGGAGTCACTGGTCGAGAGCCCGTGTTCCAGATGACTATGGAGACTGTGGGCGAGAAAGAAGCCACAGATCTTAAGGGGAGGAAGTTCGCTCTTCCGGTCGATTCCGAGCATAAGGCCAAGACCGTGAGGCTCTACTCCGTGGCTGCTCCTCACATGAGGACTTTCCATCTGTCGTGGATCGCGTTCATGATCTGCTTCTTCTCCACCTTCGCCGCACCGCCTCTCATGCCCGTCATCCGGGACAACCTCGGTCTCACCAAAGTGGACATTGGCAACGCCGGCATCGCCTCGGTCGCTGGAGCTGTGGTGTCTCGGCTGCTCATGGGCACCATCTGCGACCTCGTGGGGCCTCGCTACGGCTGCGCCATTCTCATGATGATCACGGCGCCTGCCATCTTCTGTATGCCTCTTGTGTCCACTCCGGTGGGATTCATCCTGGTGCGATTCTTCATCGGCTTCTGCCTGGCGACGTTTGTGTCGTGTCAGTTCTGGATGAGCTCCATGTTCAACAGCAAAATCGTGGGAATCGCTAACGGAACGGCAGCCGGATGGGGGAACATGGGAGGAGGCATCGTTCAGCTGGTGATGCCCCTGGTGTTCGACATCATCCGCCGAGACATCGGGAGCGAGAAGTTCACAGCCTGGAGGATCGCCTTCTTCGTCCCCGGCGTGCTGCAAGTAATGATGGGATTGCTGGTGTTGACCCTGGGCCAAGATTTGCCCGACGGAAACTATGCTGAGCTGAAGAGAGAGGGCGAGAAAGTGAACGACAGCTTCCAGAAGGTGAGCTCCAATTTTACTTTCATCGCCAAATTCTCAAATCTTTGCAATGTTGAGATTTACTGTTGGCTTTCTTCTGAGCTCGAGTTGAAGAAGTTAAAATGAAACGAACTGATGGGCTCACTCTGATCATGATCTGATGAGAATCGAAAATGATTCTTTGCAGGTGTTTCTGTACGCTGTCACCAACTATCGCACGTACATTTTTGCATTGACATATGGTTATTGCTTCGGAGTGGAGCTCACAGTCGACAACATCATCGCAGAGTATTTCTACGATCGCTTCGACCTGAACCTGCAGACTGCTGGAATCATCGCATCCACATTCGGGCTCATGAACTTGTTCTCTCGCCCTCTGGGAGGAGTCCTGTCTGACGTTGTGGCTGCGAGGTGGGGAATGAGGGGCCGCCTGTGGAATCTGTGGATCATCCAGACGGTGGGAGGAGTTCTGTGCATCGTTCTGGGTCTCACGGGTCAACTAGGACCTGCCATCGCCGTAATGCTCATCTTCTCGTTCTTCGTCCAGGCAGCTTGCGGTGCCACTTTCGGTGTCATTCCATTCATCTCCAGACGATCACTTGGAATCATCTCTGGCGCCACTGGGGCTGGTGGAAACATTGGAGCGGTTACCACTCAGGGAATTTTCTTCATGAGCTCCAAGTACACAACGGAGGACGGGATCATGCTGATGGGCATCATGATTGTGGCCTGCACTCTGCCTGTTATCTTCGTCCACTTCCCGCAGTGGGGAAGCATGTTCTGCCCTCCGTCCAAGGCCACGGAGGAAGATTATTACATCTCCGAGTGGAGCAAGGAAGAGCAATCCAACGGTCTCCACCATGCTAGCATGAAATTCGCCGAAAACTCCAAGTCCGAACGAGGTCGTCAATCGCCACCAAGATCCAAAGAGGAAACCGTCGTTGTTGACGGAGTTTGATTGTGGACGGTGCACGGCCGTGGCCAGTTTAATATTGTAATCCTGGCCAGGATATGTAAGGATGGAAGAAAATCAGACATGTGCTCGTACAATTGAGCTCTACAATAGTTTCATCTGTCCTGGGTAGCTGTCTGGGATAGATATAGTCTTAGAAGGTCGACCAATTTATAGCAATGTTGATTCCAGAGTTTTACAATATTAGAGTTGATGCGCCAGATGTTTAATAGAAATTGCAGTGATTAGGAATAAGAGTTACTCGGAGGAGGTTGTGCATTACGTAGGTGGTGAGATGGAATAGAACGTATCTGCAGTCTTCGAGTTGATTTGTCTACTATTTTGTAAGAACAGTTGTTTAATTTTTATCTTTTTTAACTTAATCCAAACTTTTATTTGAAATGTTTTTGTTTTTGTTTTTTTTCTTATTTATCATATTAATATATTTTTTTTCCTTTTGATTCATTTTTGGAATAAATTTTTTATTAACTTAATAAATTTTGAAAGAAAATTTAAAAATTACAACGAATTTAACTTTGATTCAATAAATTTTAATCTAAATTTAATAAATTTTGATTAGATTTTGGATTAATTTATTTATTTTGTATGACCTGATTTTTTCAAAGAAATTCTAATATAAAATTTTATAATATAAAAGCTAGTCAAATAAAAATAAAATTGAGTGTGTTTCTATGTAAGGAGATATGGTAATGAGAGCGATACTTATAGACTTTCAAACACGAAACACGAAACAACATCGTTATGAGTTTCATTTGTTTCACTCTTCCTACTCTTAATATATCTGCCACCGCCTCCTCTTCCCTTACTGCTGGATATATAAGGTCTCTCGTGAACACCTGTCACACCACCTCCGCCTCTTCCCTTATAGACTTTCAACATCACAGGAAACACGAAACAACATCGTTATGAGTTTCATTTGTTTCACTCTTCCTACTCTTAATATATCTGCCACCGCCTCCTCTTCCCTTACTGCTGGATATATAAGGTCTCTCGTGAACACCTGTCACACCACCTCCGACGAATCAACGTATGTGGTATGAGTCGGGTTTTACCTGTCTCTTTCAGTCCTTACTGTTTGAAACTAACTGCTCTCCAAAAATTTTACACCTATTTCATTTATTTCCTGCTCAACTTTTTTGCTTTTTAAAGCAAAAAAATTATTGCGAGACTGCAATACTGACAGTTGATCAGAAAAGCAACTCATTCTCTCCAAAATGAAGAAGCAGAAGAAGATTATAGAAGCAGAGCTGTGCTACACGGGAGAAAGTTTTGATCCTAAACACTGTGAAGACAATGAGGTTTACACTCTTTATGTAAAAAAAAATTAATAAAATTCCCTCAAAAAAGCAATATTTCAATACTTTGCTTGTTATTCTAATTACGAGCATGGAATAAAGTGTAAATTTTTTTAACCTTGTGCACATTTATATACGGTGTGGATAGAGTGATAAACAATTTTCAATCTCGATTTGGAAAACATGCTAGACCAATGGCGAATACTGCTTGCAATCAAGCAAGATTCGGATAGGACAGCAAGTATTCCAATCAATGCTAAGTATTCTTCATTGTATCCTATCATCACTTTGTATACAAATCAACATCCAGTGATTTTTGGCTGTTGATTTCACTTAAATTCTTGGAAGTAATTCAATTCTCTACCCTCATGACCCCGATTGACCCCATCGCTTCACCATAGTGGAGAGTGATGAGATTCACTATTGCTAGATTTACAATGAATTAGATAATTGAATATGTTATATAAAATTTTTATCTAAATTATTTATGCAAAATATAGAGTTCATCTCAATAAAAGTTATCATAGCAAATAATTTTAGATTAAATTTGATTCTAGAATGTGCAAGATAGAAAAATAGAACTCCATGAACAACATTCATTCAAATAAAATAAAAATCTTAATGAAATCACATGCATAAAAAGTTGCACATGTGATTCTAATAGTGGGAATAACATGTATAATATTATTTAATAAATTCTAATGCACAATCCATCATTAATTTTATTTAATATTTAAAGAATTGATTTATCATTCATCAAGAATAAAATATTTTTGTATTTATTTGAATTTTTTTGTTATAAAACTTAATAACAAAATTATTTCTTCATTAAAATTTGATTTTTTTTGATATTTTTTCTTATTTTTTTTCTCTAAATTTTCTTTTACTTGATTGTAAACAAATTTATCATATTTGGGTAAAGCTTTAATTTTCCAAACCTCAATACTTATTTTCTATATATTTTATATAAAAAATTTATTCATTTAAATCAATTTTGATTAATATTATTAAGATTGAAAAAAAATTTACATTTTGTTGAATTTTTATTTTTTAATTTGAATCTCATTTTAATTGTGAACTTATTATAAAAAATATTTTTTTCTCATAATATTTATGATAGAAAAATCTTTTTTGAAGTAAATATTTAATTTAAAAAAAAATTAAAAACAATTTGATTTCATTTTAATAAACTGAATCTGTTTTAAAATTTTGAAAATCATAAACTTGTTAATTTGATTATTTAAAATATATAGTAATGTAATTCACTATAAAATTAAAGTTTTATCACAGGTTTTAAAAAATGTGTATTGATGCGTTCGATACTTACTTGATCATCAATTAATTCTCTATTTGTAATTTTAGACCTTGGATAACGGCTCAATCTAAGTCAAGTGTATTTAAAATAATTATAGCATTTTAATTATGGATCGGTCAAAGGTATTGCTAGTAAGAGGATAATACAACATAAAGTTTATTTTGTAAATAAGTAATTTCAATTTTCAAATAGAAAAAAGAGATAAATATTTATTTATTTATTTATCAAATATATATTTTTTAAAATATAATTTATTTTATAATGATATTTTTTATTTTATTTTATTTCAATCTTGTCTTGAATTTTACAATAACTTTTTAATTAAAAGTAATCTTAATTCACCATTGTACATATGCAGATTTTAGAAATTTTGGGCAATATCAATGGTGAGAAATTCTCACCATTGGTACTGCCCAAAGTTTTAACTTTAAATTTTACATTGATACTTGTCTTTATTAGTTTTGATTTTTAAAATCAGGCTTAGTGTATAGACAGAGACATCATTAATTTAGGAATATGTCTGTGACAAAATATAAAAAATCCAATGTATGAGCATTCAAAATTACAAAATAAAAACATTTGAAAAACCATATAGACAAAGCTATGTAACTGTGACAATGATTGGTGTGATTCTGAGTAAAAAATTAGAGTAAAGCCCATGACCAATAATGATATCTCAAAAGATTATGATATGTAAGATGAGAGAAGTTAATCTGATTTTACAATAAAGTGATACTAAAATTTATGCCAACCATTTTCGATTGATAATTTCAAAGCAAACATAAAATCGCAATCCAGATTCAACTACTTCAGATCCATATTTCTAGTCAAATGCTTAAGAAGGAAAAAGGTTTTGTATTCTTTGGATTAAATCAGTATTAGGAAATAGTCACTTCATGTCTCAGTTACATACAAAGAGACAATGATTCACGACAAGTACATATTTTTTATACTTGTTTTTATCGGTTGCGGTTTTGAAACAGTCTAAGTGCAGAGACATCACTAATTTCAGAATCCGTTTGTCACATGGTATGAAAAATCGGGCGGAAAAACTCAGCTTTCAAAATTGCAAAATAAAAACATTTGATAATTTATATCGACAAAATTATGTACCTGTGACAATGATTGGTGAATATCTAAATAAAAATTAGATTAAAATACCCATGATTTGTAATGATATTTTAAAATATTATGATTGATGTAAGATGAGAGAAGTTAAAGTGATTTTACTGTAGTGTGATACTAAAATATATGTCAATCATTGTCTTTTAATAATTTCAAAGCAAACACATTGCAATTCAGATCAACTCACTTCACCTGATAGAGTGTGAATTTCGCCCGCACAAATCTGTTAGAGAATCTGCATCTTTAGTCACCATGAAATTGCAATCACTATTGTTGATTACATTACTCGCTTATGCATTTTCAGTTGATTCAAATTAAATACAGCATTATTTTTTTTAACATATATATAAACTTTCATCTAATTTTTTTTTATAAATGGAAACATAAATCTATTTTTATAAATTTGGATTTTAATATAAAAAATTTTATTATATTTTTTAATTGAATTTATTCTATCTTTCAAAAATTATTTTTACTTGGGTTAATAAATTATATGTGTTGATTTTTATTTATATAAATATCGAAAATATAATCTGCAAATTATCTGATTCATCTTTTTGATTATTTTGAAAATTCTAATTTTATTGAAAATTTTTTTATGACAATATAAATTTAGATCATGAAAAAAATAATTAATTTCTAAAAAATATGATTTTTAAACAAAAAATCCTTATTTTTAAGGAGAAGTTGACATAGATTAAAAAGGATAAAAGCTAAAAGATTAGACTTTTATTTTGAAAAAAACATTAATTTAAAATTATTTATTATACGATTTAATATACGATAAATTTTGAAAAATGAAGCTTTAATTTTAATATGATCAGAATTCTTAAATTAAAATCACTTTTCAATAAAAACTTTGCATTTAATAACCGAAACTCAATGTTTATTTTTTTTCCATTTTTTCTTTATAAATATATTATTATTATAAAAAAAGCTTATTTTTATTATTTTTTTGATTTAAAATTTTTTTCAAATTAAATAAGTAAATGAATGAATCAAATAAATTTAACAGTAATGAAAAAATGTTATCTCTACCATAACACCATAATTTATTACGCAAAATCAAATCTTTTCTCAAGGAATCATTACATATAAATAAAATAATTAAATCGCAATGAAATTAAAATCAAATTTTAATTAAAAATCTTAAACATTTTAACTTTAAAATTTTTTCTTAAGATTCTAAAACATTCTATTCCATCAACACACTACGACCTACGTAGTCTACAACCTCCTCCACGTAACTCTTATTCCTAATCACAGCAATTTGGATTCACTGCAATTCACTACATTGAATGGAATGTGAGTGCTGAGCAACATTAGAAAAAAAAATTACTTGTCTTTGAGATCACTAATAACTTCGTAACACATGATTGAAATAAAAAACGGGACGATCCAGACTTCAATGGGGAACTTCTCAGTTCTTTACAATTGAATGATTCAACCGAATTTCGCAAACGAAAAGGAAAAATCAACTTCTCTTGCAAAGAAATCTGTTTCCCCGGGAAATTTCTTCGAAGAAACAACGGCCATCACGAAGTCTGCAATACAGGTCTTTATAGGCT